CCGGGCAGGCAGCGCCGGCCGGCGCGGGGCCGTGGGGCTCCCCTGGGGGGGACTTCAAGGCGAGGAGGAGGCCGGAGCGAAAGCCTCTGCCCATCGAGAGGACTAAAGGCTCAGAGATCTTATTTGGGATCGCACCGTGTTCCCTGGCCCTCTCTCAGTCGAGGAGGGACCTGTTCAGGTTGTTCCTCAAGCAGAGCAGTGGCCCTCGGCGACTTGTTACGAGTGAGTTTGTCCTCCAGGCCACAGCCCGGGGGGTCCCCGTGCACCACGTCAGAAGGAGAGAGCTGGATGCTCTCTGCAGAGGTCAGGTCCACCAGGGAGTTTGTTTGGAGGCCACTCCTCTCCGTTTCAAGAGTTTGGAGGATGCTGAAAAGCCTGATGTGGGGGATGAAAAGAGGCCGAACCGGCAGCTGATTTGGTTGGTGTTGGAGCAGATCCAGGACCCCATGAACCTGGGGGCAGTGCTGCGCTCTGCCTACTTCTTGGGGGTGGACAGAGTGGTGACGAGCCAGAGGAACAGGTACGGGGATGGTTATCTGCTCCTTCAGCTTCTCTCTTTCTTTTCCTGCTGGCTCCCACAGAGGTTTCTAGCCTGCGTTGCTCGACAGCCTCTTTAGAAGGTTTTCTAGGACTGAGCTTGAGAGCTGAATTTGGCTGGCTGCTGCTTTGTGTTGCGCTCTGCCAGGGAGGCTGTGGGACGTGGTATTCCAGGCTGGTAAGGAACCTCCCTGGGTACTTCTTGTTTTAACCCATTTTGTTGTCCATCTGTGCACAAAACTGTAACCTATTTCCTGGATTAATTTCTGAGCCCTCCTATTCTCCATAGGAAAATATATCCATGAGCGAGATCTGTAGTAGACTAGTTGGAATTGGGTTGCAGAGGCCAGAGAAGGAAATACAGAAACAAAAATTCTCCTGGATTTCCTTTTTTGCTCTCATACGACACTTTTCCTTTCTTTTTTCCTTGCAGCTGCCCCTTGACTCCAACGGTGAGCAAAGCTAGCTCAGGAGCCATGGAAGTCTTCGATGTCTACAGCACAGATGATCTCCGGAGCTTTTTGAAGGTAGAGTGATCCACTTTGGTTTTTTCCCCCCTTTGCTTTCAAGAAACCTCAGCTATTGCATTTGTTGAACAGAGAGGAGGTGCAGGAAAAGGACTCAGTTATTTGCAGTGCCCTGTGCTCCTGCTCTGCATTCC